GTTAATACGTACTCTACCACTAGGGGGAGAACTTTTTTTTAACCTAAGATGACCTAAGGTTAAAAAAAGAGCAGGAAAGGTTTTTTCTTCCTGTTCTTATCTTGGATTTCTGTTCTGAAGTAGAAGCAAAATTTAGCAAATGGAGCTGTTCTTAAGTTGGATTGTTCTTAAGTAGGGACATTCTTAAGTAGAGACCCCACTGTATCAGTAGAAGTAATCTAAGAAAAAGCTTTAATCTCTTAGATTCTTAAGAAGGCAAACATTTGAAGCATTATCTGTCTACTTGGCCCACTGACGTTTGGATTGCATGAAAGTGCAATGCCTTACTGGTCAGTTGTACATAGCTGGAAAATGTTTAATAGAATATATTTTCTTTTACTGCTAACCTATCATTGTTCTTAATGTTGAGGAAGTCCAGGGTTTATTTGAAGTATTACACTACCAACTTTTCAGCCCAGATGGCAATGATGTTGGGGGTGAGTGGTTAGCAGTGCTTCACAATTGTACTCTGCAGCTGTCATTGCACATGAGGCTTTTGAATGCTGTAAATATGCCAGGAAAAAGATCAATGACCTTCACATCCGATGAATCCAAGTAGTTTCTTCGTAATACTGCTATAGTACTTTCCTGCAGAGCTTTCTTTTGCTTCTGCCTCTCTTTGGGGCTAGCTGCAACTGCGTCTGCAAGTCTCCCTTTGTGCAAAGCTTTAAGCCATATCTGCCAGTGCATCTGCTCAGATAATTGAGTTGGATCCAGAATAAATTTGCCCCACTAACATTCTTTCGAAGTAAATGGGAATTCTAAGTTCGATGAGACTTTTACATGAACCCAGCCCAGCATATTTAGATATGTCTGACTATGACCACTGATCCTTGCATCATCTCTCCATTCCCTTCTTTCTGTGTCCCTCTTTCCCAATGGTGCAGGGTGCTTTTTGACAAGATTCTTCCTGTGTAATTGCTGTGCCTGGCCTGTGAAATGTGGTGTACAGGCAGTGTCCCCATCTACTCGTAACTCTTCTGTGTTTTGACACTGCTTCTTCAATTTGTGGCAAAGCAGCTGAGGAAGAAAAGAAAAGATTAGACACTTCTGCCGTGTGTGGAAATACTCCTTGTTCATTTTTTAGGATTATAACCCTGCAGGCAGTATTATGTACTACCTAGTGCCTGACACACTTTATTCATACATTGTGAAGGTTACCGTTTTCAGAATTCTTTTGGGAAGATGGAATTAGAAGGTAAATGCTTTGGAATTATCTTTTACTAGTAAGGAAAACCCCTTTCAAGAATTTGTATCGCCCCCCCCAAAAAAAGAATTAGACTTGGAAAAATAATCTTATCTGAGTATGGATCACTCTAAGCTAAAGAAATTGATGTTTAAGTCTTCTTTTTCTCCTCCTTCTGCTCCTCCTTCTCACTTCCTCCAGGAGGTCTTCTTCCCCCATGGCTGAGGAAGTATGGCTTTTTACCCAGAAATGAGGAGGAGGTTAGGGTTAAGATTAGGTATGAGTCCCTTGAGAACAGTTCTACAGTAGATGGATCAACTAAAGCAAAGCAAAGCGTGCTGCTTATATACCGCCCCATAGCGCTTCAAGCACTCTCTGGGCGGTTTACAAGTTAATTATGCGGGCTACACATTGCCCCCCCCCCAGCAAGCTGGGTACTCATTTTACTGACCTCGGAAAGATAGAAGGCTGAGTCAACCTTGAGCCGGCTACCCGGGATTTGAACCCCAGGTTGTGAGCACAGTTTTGGCTACAGTACAGCGGTTTAACCACTGCACCACGAGGCTCTTTAAATGAACTAAAACAGTACCAAAGAGGAAGATCATTAACATGGCAGAGGAATGCTTTCTTGAATTCCTGCAACTGTTCCTCAAAGTTTTGAAAAGAACTCTTAAACGGCTTAAAGAATCCTGGCATGGTTGTTCACATAGGACATTAGGGATGAGGGACAGTTTATCAACTCTGACTTAGCTGTTGGTGCCAGTCAGAGCTTCATGCCTTGGGCAAGAGGGAAGTGATCTGTAGGGTGCTTTTCAGTAGAATTGTGATGAGGAAGGGGAGGAGGCTTGAACCTTCTTTTGATATGAACTGTAGCCCCAATCTTTCTTGGGTCCCTGCTGTTGCTGTTAAAGGAGAGGACATCATTTTAATATTTTAGCAATTTAATTAATTTGTTTAATATAATAATTGTTTTGTCCCGCAGATTTGCTTTTTATTGGTACAGAAGTGTTCAGTAGAGATTGCCCAGCACCATTATTTACTGTATATAGTATTCATTCAACATAAGATTTGATCCTTCAGTTTGTTTTCAGGTCAGAATATGCTTGAAGAGAAAGTCTGCATGCATATTTTAAAGAGGTGTACAGAGGTGATGAGACTATAGGATTGCAGACCTTGATGCACTTACCCAAGTCCTGCTGAACACAGTGAGGCTTGCCTCCAGACAGACGGGAAAAGAGTTAGGCTATTCTTAAACTTGGCAAACCTCCAGTAAAATGAACTGCTTGAAAAGAAAGTTTGCACTGTAAAATATGAATTGGTTTCCAAGGCTACTTTTTGCTTGAATGACGATGGTCGTACTACACATAATTGTCTGGCTTCCCAGAAGACATCCTTGTCAGGTGTTTGCAAATTTAAATTGGAGTAAATTGGTTAGGTGCTTCACACTGATGAATCTTTGTTGCAAATTCATAGGCTTAAATTTTACTCTGCATTAGATATGTAACATATCTGGCTGGAATCTGGTTGAAAACTGGTGGAGTATAATGCTTGGCTGGCGTAGCTCTACTTGATCTGCTGACCTGCCATTTCACAAAAAGGGATCAAGGAGATTGTGACCAAACTAATGGGGTTTTGAATGTACAAAACAGTTCTGAGGTGTCACTTTACACAAGCTTCTAAATGTGAAACACTTGTGCAATGAACTATTGTGTGAGCAGCTTGACTGGATGGGATCCTAACCTTTGGTCTTTTTTACTTTCCAAATAAGCATGGGGGGATTCAGTATGTAATTAATGATCCAACTCAGATTTCTTCAAAGAATTAGAATCTGGATGGAGGCTTAAATGTGCAAGGCTTGTGATCTGGATGAAAGACTAATGTGCTTACTTATGGACTTTAACAAAAAGGAAAATGAAGATCTAGTAGCAAGCCACGTATTTAATACATCATATAATTTCACTGTTTGGTGTCATTTCTTGGTTGTGCAAATTTAATTCAAACCTGTACATTCAATATTGCTATTTAAATTAACTAAGTTCATTTAAAAGAAAATAAATTGGGTGAAGAAAATTGAAGTTAAAAGCTTGAAAGGGAATTAAGTAATATTTGCCCAGTGTGATTAGATTTTTTTTTCTTCCCTGTCTGTGTTCAGTCTCAGCAGGGAAAGTTATTAAAATGTTGACATTTTGCAATAATAACCAACTGCACATTAGTAATAGTTTCCAATATCCATCTCTATTAGTTTTGTAGAAGTGTGAAGACTATTATTCAGAGAAATCAAAAGATTGCAGATTGTATCAGTACAGAAGTGATCTTTCAAAATGAGTCTGAGATAGAAGCAAGAGCATAAAATCTTAATAAGGAGCTGAAATGCATTTACTCTTTTTATCTTGATGTCATGGTTTAAAAATGGTAAAGGCAGACTTTTGTGGAAGGAAGATGAAATGTTATCTCTACAGTTTGGTTTTGAATTTGGTTTGGAGGATTTTCTGAATGAGAACAGTCTTTATCTGATATTCAGGTGCTTTAAGCAGCCGAGTAGAAGAGTTTGACATTCAGGGGCTATTTGAGGGCAAGGTATCCCACTTCCATTTCCCTCTGTCTCTAATGAAAGGACCTTCTGACACTCCTTGTCAATGGACTGAAGCATTTCTGGATCCAGGCAGTGGAAAGCAGAGCCAGTCCCTTGCACATTTTTCTTGAGAGGCTAGGTGTGTATATATGAAAGAATGAACTTCTCAGCTTTTATCATAGCCTAGCTTGGAAGAGTGGGCTCAGAGCTCCCGTAGGCAAGCAGAAGGGTTCCACCTCACTACTGAGGGGGAAAACATGGGCCAACTTGGAGAAATGATTTCCTTTGTGAAAGACACACTTCTCAAAATGCTGCTAAATTATGTTTGCTATGAAAACATCCAATGGGTTAGGCCCTGTTAGTGTTGTATGGTTTCTTTCAGAAGGCTACAAAGGTGCACAACATTAAAATGCATTAACATTTTTAAAAATGCAAATAGTTAAATACAATATAGAGAAAACAACACAAAACTTGTATGAACCTCAAAGAAATGTTTGAATCATTCAGATGTATGTGTATGGTAATATATGGTCTGTACATATTTGGTCAGAGACAACAATCTGCAGAAATGCCTGCTTAAAAAGTCTCCTATGCAAGTCACTAATGAGAAACTGACATTTAAAAAAATTATTTGAGAATATATAAATGTCTTTAACATGTTGTCTTTTATATATAAGCTGAAATCCTGTTGCTTAGCAAAGTAAGTCACAACTAGAGTAGCCCATTTAATCAGTGATACTCATGGAGGAATTGATTCATCAAATATCCATTGATTCAGTGGGCCTACTCTAGTTGTGATTTTCTATGCTAAGCAACAGGATTTTAACCATTGTGTACAGCTATTTGAATTATTCTGTGTATGTTTGTAGCCCCCAGAAGAAGTCCATAGGATAGTAAGAGGCTGAAATGCCTCAGGCAATTTAGCAGAAAAAAATAATTATACAGTACCTTGCGACTTGTGTCTCCCACATAGACACTCTCCAAGTTTTGGCATGCTGTACTTTTGTTCAGTACCCTTCCAAATCATGGTTTCTTTGTTGTAGGGTCAGACTCCAGGAATAGCTCATAATGACCGAATAGCATTCCTTTGCCTGAAAAATGTTTTGCTCTATAGTTGAAATTGGTCAATAGATCTGTCCTCTTAGTTAAGTGTGCGTATTACTATTTTATAGTTAACATAGTTTCATGTTTGCTGCCTGGTAGGAATTGATGGTCCAGCTGCTTTTCAAGACGATGTGCAGGAAATAGGGAGCCGGGTTCAAATTCTTACAGTTGGAGAGACTTGTCAAGATGAGGATGATAGTGAGATAATAACTACCAATCAACAACAAGGCAAGCAAGACCTTAGACTAACAATGCAGAAGAAAGGTAAAGATCCAGTAAACTTACGTTCTCAGTGGTTTGTTCTATTTATATTATCCAGAGGTTTGGTTTGTGAACATTCATAGAATGATCAAGAATCACATCTTCATATCTTTGCTCTAGAGAAAAATATGAGCTGACATTTTCACTTGCTTCTAACTGAGATTTTTCTTAGAGGATGTCAGTCCATTGTGATATTTTGTGGGAAGGAGTTACATAAGAACAGTGAGGGTCCACCTTAATGTTAATGGATTATGCCAACTTTTATATAAGAGAGACTTAGCTGTGTGATTGTTATCAATAAGAAAGCTTGGGCAGTCTAATATGGAAATAAAAGCTTTGGTGGCCAGCTTAGTTACTCATGTGGATATGTGGAATAAGCGCGGTTCTTTTAAAAGTCCTGCCCCTACCACCAGGTTAATGTTCCTGTTATACATAGTAGGTCTGAAAAATGCTAGTAAAAACATGACCGATAATTCTTACAATTGGTTTTTTGATGGTAAGCAAGCATGTGCTGCAAGCCCAGCATTAGCAAATATCTGTTTGCTCCCCGGAGAGCATACAGAAACTCTTACTTTATGTCTATTGTTATGTTAAACAGGCTGGAAACAGAAAGAAATGCCAGTGGTTTTATGTACTCCTTATCAAGACACCCGAGCAGCAGGATCAGTTTGTGGGAAATGTTCAACCACTTAGATTTCAATTTTCTTTTGTTACTGAACCAGTTCAAACCCACAGAATACTACGTTGTAACAACGATTCCATCTTTTAGATAGAATCACTGCAGTTAACTGTCATCAAAAGGAACCAGGCTTAAGCAGCTTTATCGGCATTGTATCGAGAAGTAGGAGCCACAATGCAGTAACTGTGAGATGTGCCATCAAGTCACTTTCAAGTTATGGTACTCCTATAAATTCATGACCTCCACAAAGTCTTGCCATTAGCAGCCTTGGTTACATCTTCTAAGGCTTTCTTTATTGAAGCAATCTATCTCATATGAGCCCTTCTTTTCCTACAACCCCACAACCTTTTCCTTGAAAATGTTGATCTTTTTAAAAATGAGAAACCCTCTTGTTGCTTAAACTTTTATAATTTTTGTGAAGGGGGAGGAACTATGGGGTGCAGTGAGGACAGGATTCCCAAAACATAGCCAGAAGACAAAGAGGAATCCTTGAGGGGAAAAAAAGATTTGAAGCAAAGTGTCAGTGATGTGAGGGAGCAAGGGTATGGAGGCACCAGGGTATGGAGAGTAAATCTGGTCTTCTGGAAACCCACTTTGCCCACCCTTGCTTTGTTGACATATTGTATGATCTTGTGTGACAAGAATGTGAATACTACATAGAAGAAAGAAGCTGTATCTTTTCTTTTTCCTGTACACTCATACCTATTTACAATTGAGATACTAGATGGTAATATTATGCAGCAATATGAACATAAGGACATGTGGTGCTGCTGTGGGCCAGTGGTCTGCCTAATTCAGCATTTGGCCTGTTGGTTTATAATCTGCTATTATATTCTGTTGTCTCAGCAGAATATAATAGTGGATTTTACCATCTGTTACAGCTGTATGATGCAGATGGAAGACACATTATACCCAAAGAGATATATATATATTCAATACTAAGGACAACAGATATAAAACTAAATATAGATTAGTCATTTCTTTTCTGAAAATGTGATGGATCTCCTTCAGGTATTTCAAGTAGCATGAATTTTGATGAAGAAGAGGATGAGGAGGATGAAGACAGCTCGAGTTCCTCACAGCTAAATAGTAATACCCGACCAGGTTCTGCAACAAGCAAGAAGTCAAACAAGGTAAGAAATCAGGTGTGATGGGACTGGGTGAGGGTTAAAACCTGTCTCAAGGGCTTGGATTTTAGAATGCTCTCATATTCAGACATGGCATGGCAGTATTCACACGCTGTATGGCCTTTGATGAATTATATTGTTCCCATTTCCAAACTGCTCCCAGGTGCCTCCCCTCTTCCATTCTAGGTGTGATGCTCAACACAGAAAATGAGCCACACAGCCTGTTGGATTACCCTGGTTTTGTCTTTCAGTCTGTCCAGTGCCCATCTTCTTTGTGCTCCAGCTTACTACTAAGAAGATCTGATCCCGCTGTTTGTATTCCAGATGCTTTGTAGCTTTCATTTCTGTTCTAGGAAACAGCCTCAGGGCCCAGCCCTTCGACTAACAACCCTATCATAGAGGTGGATGACCTGGAGGAATTTGCTGTGAGACCGGCTCCTCAGGGTGTAACCGTCAAATGCCGAATCACAAGAGACAAGAAGGGAATGGACCGCGGAATGTACCCGACGTACTACCTCCACTTGGAAAGGGAGGATGGTAAAAAGGTCATATGGCATATTATACATATGAAACAATAAACAGAACAGGGAGCAATAGACTTACAGAATTGTAGAAGTGGAAGAATAATTATGGTCCTACTTTGTTTCCTCCATCCCACATCTCCATTACCTGTGAGAATATCTAGCAGTGAATTTGGTATATTCTGCAAGCTGAAAGGGTTAAAATCCTACAGAACTGTCTCCCATTGAACTTCGTACAATTTCTGGTAGGAAGTTGAATACCAGATCACACCCTAGTGCCCAGCCCTTTCTTTGTTCCTTACAGTCTTTATGATCAGCACCATGCGGTGTGCATACGGTCATTGCATTGCCCTCTAAGCATCAACATGCCAATAATAAGCTTGCACAGTTTTGTGCATTCAAATCAAAAATTTTATTTTAATATTTTCTTGGTGCAAAAGTCTTTTTAAGCCACACCCTTAACAATGAGATTAAATCTATATGGTATTTATTCTATTTAAATACAGCAGAAATATTTAAATGTCCAGTTTCATTGGGGCAAGTTGTAGCCCTATGAAAATAGTCACACAGAATAAGGATGGGGTTTCTTAAACATTTTCATCTTGTTCCGGTCACAAATAGAGAGATACTGTGGGACCAGTTCACCCATTATCAGTGTAGTGTAGTGGACACTGGAATAAGTTCCAGGTATAGGCTGCCCATGGTCCGAGGGGAGGCATCTTGCCCTAGTGTTGGCCTGCTTTCCATGCTCTGTGCAGCAGAGAGCACATCCACGTGGAAGGCCTGTTGCATATTTTATGACATCTTTTTAGGGCTGTGGACACCTAGAAGTGATTTTCAGATGTCCTAGAAAAATGCTGTATGAGACCACAGGGAGAACTTTCATTTTGGTGGCTTCCCAAGTGTCTAGAAGGTTTTTTGGTCAAACAATAAGAAACATAGGAAATGGCCTTATATTCAGTCACACCATCTAACGCAGTAAATCAGGGCTTGGAAAAGTTACTTTTTTGGTAAAACTACAGCTATCATAATTTCCCCAGCCACAATGGCCATTGGGTTATACTGAACAGGGAATTCAGGAGATTATAATCCAAAAATAACATCTACAAACTCCACTCAGTATTGACTGTAGTGACTGACAATCAGAGCTTCAGCCAGAGATGTTTCCACTTTTTGGAGCAATCAGAGTTTGAACCTGAGACCTTTTGCATACAAATGTTGTATTCTGTTAATAGCTACAACCTTTCCCCCATTTTTAGTGCTCTGATGGTATGCCATAGACAGATAATCTGAAAGCATGAAGCCACTTATGCATAACACTCAGTTTTACAGTATGTGTACAGTATTGTAAACTGATGAAGTGGCTCAATTTAAGGCTGATACGCACTCTAATTTTTTTTAAAAGTAAACACTATATTCGTGAAGGCTTTCACGACTGGGATCTAATGGTTGTGGGTTTTTCGGGCTCTTTGGCCGAAAAACCCACAAGAGTGTTGTCCTCTGAAGATGCCGGCCACAGAGACTGGCGAAAAGTTAGGAAGAACAACCTTCAGAACACGGCCAAAGAGCCTGAAAAACCCACAACAACCATAAAGTAAACACTGCATATTACTTCTAAATAAACAGCAGTGTATGTAAACCATGGTGATATATGCAATGCAATGCAACACAATGCAATTCAATGCAATGTAATACAGTGCAATGCACACTTTTATTTATTTGTATACTTGCTTTTCTCTGTGTTTTAGCCATCCTCATAATTTTAGGTAATTAATATGAGATTGAGAAAAATACAGAGGTGTTTATTCCCACATGACTTCAGGTTCCCTTCTTTTAGCTTACACCTTGTCCTTAGAAGATGTCATGCTTAGAATCTTCAGATGACAACTGATTCTGGCCTGAACTGGCATCTGTTTGATGAATACTACTCAAGCTCAAATTAAACATTTAACAATGTGTCCTACATTTAATTATTTAAATCATAAATAATAGATTGGAGAGAGAGATTTCCAGTGCTGTTTTTTTTAATCTGTTTTTGCTAACTCTCATTCTGACTGTTTATATTTTTGCTGGTGATGTTAAGCTGCAAGAAAATTAGATTCTTTTTCTAATGGTTCTTCAAATTCTGCATAGAATGTAACTTTTAAGTTTTCAAATTTCTCAGGTATTTTTGTTAGCTGGAAGGAAACGAAAGAAGAGCAAAACCTCAAATTACCTCATCTCCATTGACCCAACAGACCTGTCACGAGGAGGAGAGAGTTTTATTGGAAAACTGAGGTAAATGAAACCAAACTTCCTGGAGTTTGTGCATAGTTATAAGCCACTTATTAATATCACCCTTGGTGTAATGAAAAGTTGAAGCTTATATGAGTTCTCACAAGAATTGAGCAATCTCTGTACCTCATCCCATAATGTGGCAAGAAACTGGAACCTTTTTTCTTGTTTTTTAGAGCTCACAATTTTTAGACCCTCCCTACATCCTTGTCATTACTGTATCCCTGGGCAAGTCATTAAAATCCTGAAAATGCTTGTTCTCACTAATTTAAAGCACAAAACAGATTACTGTAGAGATGACTGGTAAAGACTGAAATTTCTTCCCACTATCATCAGTTGCCACAAAACAGACTGCAAGAGAACTCTGTATACCTTGTTAAAATAATGGTATATATAACTGTATTATGACTGTGATGTTTTTAGCGTATTATTGCACAAATATGTGATCATTGTGAGTATTGCATTGTCTCTTTCTTCTTTTTAATAGTGCCTGAAGAAGACCACAAAATAAATTGGCTAAACATATTAGTTTTTTTAAACCCTCTTTTTTATTTCTCAAAACTTTGTCTCTCTCCTTCTGTTTGCATGGCAACTCAATTTTTTGTGAATAGAAGTTTTAATAGTAAAAAAAGATTAAGGGAAAAACAATAGCAGTCATCTAACAGCTTAAAAGCACCCAGCTGACAACACTCCTTGTTATGCATTCCTGGTTTCTAGAGTTTGTTCTGTATCGAATTATCAAGTAGAATTGTTTTTTCACAGTCTATGAGTGATTGAGGCTCAGATGATGCCAATGAATTCAACAGCACATTGGATAATAAAGTAATATATTTTTTCCTCTCTCATAGATCAAATCTTATGGGGACTAAGTTTACAGTTTATGATAATGGAGTAAACCCAATGAAAACAACACTGAGTTTGGAGGCCAGTAATTTGCGCCAGGAGTTGGCTGCTATTTGTTATGTAAGTACTGTTCATCAGAAAAGTATCAAAATGTATTTCAATAGACTAGTTAATAATCTATACCAGTGAAGCTGGCATATGAAGCTATATTGGTCCTTCAACACCCTGATGATAGAGGAGTGACTTCCTCATTTGCTGATTTGCTATATCCCATAAATCACAGTGGTATATTTATCACAATGGTAAAAATATATTTTATATTTCTATAAATATTTATATTTATCACAGTGATAAAAATATGTATGATTTGTCACATAGAGTGACATGGGGTCAAACTAGACATTAAAAGGAATGAGCGTTTCACTAGGAGTAACCACTTTTTTGCTCCCATGCCAGAATTTCCTCAGAGGTACATTCCCTAATAATCAAATCAGTCACAAAACAAAGAATAGTCAATGCAAGATATGAAGGCAAAGAAAATCATGTTATGATAAACTAACATTTTTCACTACATGCAAGTGCTGTATCTTCCTGTCTCACACACACAGCAGTTATTTTCAAACTGTTCTTATGAACTACCCTGATAAACTAACATTTTTCACTACATGCAAATGCTGTATCTTCATCTCTCTCATACACACACAGCAGTTATTTTCAAAGTGTTCTTATGAACTACCTAAATGTACACTCTGACCATCTGTAATTCGAGGACATAGTTCTTTGATAAAAATGGTTGCTGAACTTAATGCTGTTCCTTTCCCTTACTTAACTGAAGTGTAGGTAACACAGTTCTACAAATCAGACACTGTTTCTTTAGTTAATTATTGGATAGCTGGGCTACTTGTATAAACAGACAACAGTTTACTACACATTGAATCAGGGGTGTTGCTCTGGTGAAAAACCAGAGTAAATGATAGCAATAATTGAGGCATTCTGTCCACAAGATAAGGAAATCTACATTAATTTTTCATTGACAGCAAAGGTTGTTGCAATGAGTCATCTAGCGACAGCACAGATGTTCTCAAGATTTCTTTACCCTTGAATGATCCGTTTCTGTTCAAGTCCTAGGTTTTCCTTGAGCCACGATAGCTTGCTGGAATGAGCATCTAATATACATGATGCAAAATGCCCAGCTCTGCACATGGTGTACTATGAGCTCTTACCGATCACGTGCTGATTGGCTGTGCCTGGGTCAAGCAGATTACTGATTCCCCTGTCCTTCTCAGTCATCCAGCCAGGTTCGAGCTGCACAAGCAAAGTCAAAGGTTGGCAGTTACTTCACAATGGATTGCCAAATGTACAGAAGAATCACAGGGTTGGAGAGACATCTGAGTCAGCATTTAATTTATAAAATGAGAAGCCTTTGCCAGGGTGGCCCTTAGATCAGGCTCCAAATTATTCTCTCTGCCTTGGAAATGGCTGCTACTAATTCTAGCTATATAACAGCTGGCTGAATATCTTCAGTGGTGAAGGAAAGATGCTCTCACTGCTGTCAGTCACTTTTTTCTTTCATACATGCCTGGGCTCAGTCCTGCTATTTAAAAATAAACTCTTTCTTGAGGTAGAATTCTTTATAGTGGCGTTTCCCATCTCTATTCTAGATCAGTAGAGTAGACTTTGGTCTAGATGAGGGGGGGTAATAAATGTAATCAATCAATCAATCAGTCAATCAATCAATCAATCAATCAATCAATCAATCAATCAGTAAGAGGAAAGAAGAGGAAACCAGCTACCACCACCAGAAAAGTGTTGCTTGCTTATATGTTTGAAGTTATTAAACACTGCCCTTCCCTCAATGTGGGATGTGGTGGCACTGCAGGTTAAACTGCAGATGCCTCTGTGCTGCAAGGTCAGAAGACCAGCAGTTGTAAGATCAAATCCATGTCATGGTGTGAGCTCCAGTCGCTTGTCCCAGCTCTCGCCAACCTAGCAGTTCGAAAGCATGCAGATGCGAGTAGATAAATAGGTACCACGACAGTGGGAAGGTGACTGCGTTCCATGTCTAGTCATGCTGCCCATGTGACCATGGAAACTGTCTACGGACAAATGCTGGCTCTACGGCTTGGAGACAGGAATGAGCACTGCGCCCTAGAGGTGGACACAACTGGACTAAATGTCAAGGAGAACCTTTACCTTTACTAATTGGATTTTTTTTAATTTTTGCTGTAGGAGGGGAATCCCAAACATCAGAATTAGGTTTCTACCTAATAGGTGGTTTTTAGAAATTCTTTTTTGTGTAATTTGTTTTTGGTTGCATGTGTAATCAAGGTCTCATTATAGCGTAGCTAGTAAAAACTGATTTACTGGATGATCATTTTTTTTGGGAAAAAAGTTATTCCAATTAATGTATGTAATGATGGAAAACTTTCCAACTGTTATCCACTTGTTTGCAACCTGTCCAGAAGTACGTTGTCACTTAATCTTAGGGTTGCATGTTTCTTGTTGCATTTTTAAAGTCTTGTTGACCAGAATCCTGCTGGTGGTTTATGTCTGTGCTAAGTTATATTGTATAGCTTGCCGTGACAAATGGCTGCTACTTAAGGAAGTGCTGGTCACATTATGTGGTGCACATCTGCCTTGTGATCAGGCTCATGCCATGTAAATGTGACCTATGTATTTTGTTAGTTAGCAGCCATTTGCCATCAAGAATTATTCAGTGAAATCATCATCAGGATTTTGCTTGTTATTTAAGAGCAAAGTAAGCTCCTGAGTAGCTGTAAAACTTTTGGGGTTCCACTGGGATGTTGCTAACAGTCATTGATAAATCTGCAGCTTCACCTAATGGTCACTGTCAGAACTGCAGGGAGAGTCTCCAGCTTGCTAATTGGCAAGCTAGGAAAAGAACCCAGCTGTTCTTGTTTTTTTCATCCATTTCTATGAAGCTTAGGTCTTGTAAAACTTTGCAGCAGGGCTGAGTTCATAATTAACAAACAGTGCTTCCATCATTTCTGTTCTGGAGCTCTCTTTGGATAAATACGTGTGCATAACTGTGAACAAAAATATACACACAGAGGCTTTGAAATTATGAAATAATTCACTCTTCAACTGTTAAAATAAGCTAGACCTTGGATAAGGACAGTGACAGGGATAAATTTAACTGCCAGCTGCTAGATACATATTTTGCTGTTCAAACAGCATTTCATCCATCACAGCTGTAGCCAGCATGGCATGGTCTGTTCCTATCAATGATGCACTGATTATGCTTTCTGGAAGCCGGACATTATCTTTTCTGCCTGAGCTTAGAAGGTAAAATGAAGCTTTTCCCCAACTATATATCATAGTTGTAAACTGACTTTGTAACAAGCTGCAAAATCATTGGATAGGTTAAGAACTGTTTTGTCACCATATTGTTTAGAAAGAATGCCATCAAAAGTAAAAAGTATGTGATGTTCAAAGTGTTTCTCTTCTCGCGTGAAAACAGGAAACAAATGTTTTGGGGTTTAAAGGTCCTCGTAAAATGAGTGTCATCATACCAGGGATGAATATGGACCATGAGAGAGTTTCCATCAGACCACGCAATGTAAGTAATTATGTCTATTTAAATTGAATACTTTAGTGCAGCCACAATGACCACGAGTGCATTTAATCAATGACCCATCAGCCCCTTTGATTAAGGGCATGACACTCTGGTCTCAGGAGCTCTAGAATTGTGTGGATTTAATCAAGTGAAGGTAAAAAAAATAACTATGATAAATGATTGGACATATCTACATTCTAATTTACAGCAGCAGGCTGACAGTATATGTGCAGACCTCCATGCTTGATACCGAGAGCCATGTAGCTTTCTCTGCAGATGGTGCTGATGGCACAGGATCTGTCAGGCTGGCTGACACCTTATAACACATGTTTACAGTAATATTGATTCTGATGACAGGGTGTTTTTAGAAAAGCTCAAAAAGCAAAGTGTGCTACTTATATACCACTCCACAGCACTTAAAGCACTCTCTGGGCAGTTTACATTTTAATTATGTTGGCTACACATTGTCTCCTCCAGCAAGATGGATACTCAGTTTACCAACCTCATAATAATGGGAGGCTGAGTGAACCTCAGGCTGGCTGCCTGGGTTGAACCCGGGTTGTGAGAAGAGTTTTGGCTGGAGTACTGCCAGGGAATTTGTCAGGGAAAAGTACTTTTGGTTTTGGCTGGAGTACTGCAGTTTAACCACAGTCAGAATCTCACAACAAATACACAACTTTTTTTTTTTTAAAAAGTTTTCATATTATAAATACGTACTGGGAAAATCTTTCCAAAGATTAGTTTTTCCTTTGTTCCTCTTTGCCTTTCCTCCGTCTCTTCCTTCATCTCCCTTTTCTGCCACTTGTTTGTTCCTGCTTTGGCAGCCACCTGTCCCCTTTTAGAGTTAGTTGAGCTTTGACTGCTGAGGTTTGAAGAGGTGGCATATGGTGTCAATTGTTAAAATGGCTCGATTGAAATCTGCAGAGCCACTGTTGTAGATTTGTTAAGCAATGTTAAACACTGATTGTTGGGCACTGAGGTTTCATTCTAACATCGCCTACTGAGAACAGTAGAATAGGGAAATTTGTCAGGGAAAAGTACTTTTTGTACAGGAGGCCTTGACATTCAAACACCAATCATATGGAATTTGATCTTATTGAAGCATGTTATTCCAACCTTGTCTCTATCTGATAAATTTAAACATGCACTTCCATCCAAAGTGAAGGGTATTTTCTTTGCTTCTACCTGTGTGTTTGTTCTTGAGTGTGTTTTGGTTACAAAATTATTGTCACGTTCATGCTTTGGTGTCCTGTGAGGCTTACTTACAGAGTAGCCATGTTATATATGTGCTGTAGGAAACAAGTCTAAACAGAACCCCTATGTTTAAAATATAAATAATAACCTTGTAAGAAAAATGGGGTTCTTCTACTGGAGAAAGTACTCCTATGGCTGTATTCTAGAAGTGGTTTGGTATGGCTTTGACCATACCAAACAGAAATTTTTTGCATATTTTTATCTTTGCACATACAATTTATTTTTCATTTACCACATTCCATTTTGATAGCAGTATTTCAATAACACTTTTGATTGAAAATTCACAGCAGGCTGGTTTACCATATATTTCTTAAACCCACTTTAAAATACAAGTTATAAAATATGTGCAGGTAAACATAATGGCAGATAGAAAAGCCAGCAATTATATTTAAAATGTCTGGGCAAATAAAACAGTTTTAACTTTGTGCATAAAAAATAACTGACTCGTCATATACTCCAACATACAATTACTATCTCAAAACTCCTCTTAATATATATATTAAGAGGAGTTTTGAGATGGTAATTGTATGTTGCACAAACAACAAGCAGAAAATTGCCCTTTGCCGAACTGTTATATTCTTGATTCCTGCAGGAACATGAAACACTCCTCTCAAGGTGGCAGAATAAAAACACAGAGAGTGTCATTGAGCTGCACAACAAAACACCCGTCTGGAATGATGATACCCAGTCTTATGTTTTAAATTTCCACGGTCGTGTCACACAGGCCTCCGTGAAAAACTTCCAAATTATTCACGATAATGATCGTAAGTATGACTTCTTTATCTAAACTGGTTGGAAATCCTGCTCAGTTATGTCCAGTCTTTTATTAGCTGTGGAAAAAACTCTGAAGAGAGAGATCTGCTGAATTGCTTACAGCCAGAATTTCATCATGTTTAGTGCACTCTTATTTAATAGTGTAAAATGGGTATAAAACCCTATACTTCTGTGCTTGATATAGTTTGTTTACTTTTCACTTTCTAATCCTCGCATGTTTATAATATGTATAAGGAGGGAAAGTGAATGAATGTCATACTCTCTAGACATCAAAACTTCTGACACAAAATTCATTTGTATTTTGTTGTGTCTGTAGACTTCTAGGCAAGCACTTCAGGATCCAGATATTATTGGACAATTCCTATCCTCCCTGACCATTAACCATGTTGTCTGGGATGCTGGGAATTAACCTAGGGAGTTAAGATGCCAAGTTGGGAAAGACTGGCTTAGTAGATGCTACTGATCTAAAGATGAGGAACTAAGACGTTAGCAAGTAGATCTCAGGGAGAGCCTAATAGGAGTGGACAATTAAATTTGACAATAAATGTTCAGCTCTATAATGTAGCAATTTTATAGAGCATTAAAAAACATTGACTGAAATCCTAAGGATTAGTGTAACAAAATAGCATCCAGTCCATTCCTAGATGGCAAAGAAAGGACTGTTGCCACAATTCATGGGTTGGGGCATGTGCATGTGCCCTCAAAGATCATGGCAAAGAACTTACTTTGCCAGCAAGGAACGGATTGAATGTTACAAATTTTCCTATGCTAAGCAACAGGATTCCGGCTGTAGTTTCTTTTGTTCTACTGCTGCTTCCCCCTGGACAAATTCTATTTACTTATTCATTTGTTTGTTATGTTTATATCTGTTATCTGACACCTTTCCTCTCGTCTCATGTAGGTTATCATTTAGATCTTATAACAACCCAGTGAGGTAGGCCAGGCAGAAAGAGGGTGTGGCTGGCCCTAGCTCAGCCAGTGAGTTTCATGCCTCACTGAGGGCTAGAACGTGACAAGGTGGGAGGAGTACGGCCATATGGGCAGCAGTGGCTTGGTCATCTTAAGCAGAGCCCCCCCCCAGAAGCCCAGACCTCATACTAGCTCATACCTGTGAATCCTTCAGAGGGTACAACCCCATAGTGACCAGAACATTTGGGAAGGAAGGAAGCACTTTACTCCCCAGGAGCTCAGTCACTGTAGTCTCTCCTGGCTACAAGGCATAATGTGTGAAGGTTAATTTCTAATGAAGCAGAACCCGTGTCCTCTTGCAGAAGGCTGGAAGCCTGCTCTGCAGGAGTACCATCGGGGCCTGAGGTTGGGGAGCCGAGGCAGGAAGAACAGGATGCCCCAGCTCTTCATGGTTCCTGCAGCTGCCTTTGGTTTCTCTATTCATCCGAGCTGCCTCTTTGTATCCTTTTTTCTTGTTTCCTGCCTCTACCCATTATAAAGACATCCGTACCATGTGCCAGATAAATGTGCAGCTGGGCAGTAGCTCAATCATTCCCCTTTCAGTTCTCTGAAGAAAACTGTCTCGTAACCTAACCTTTCCGCTTACTGGGGAGAGGAAAAGGACTCTTTCCTCCTCCTCTTCCTCTGTTTTATAGTTTTGCTGACTGAAAATTCTGTTGATGTTCATTTGTGTTTCATTTGGGGTTGTCTTTCCCAGCTGACTATATAGTGATGCAGTTCGGCCGTGTGGCGGAAGACATTTTCACCATGGACTACAACTACCCAATGTGTGCACTTCAGGCTTTTGCGATTGCCCTGTCCAGTTTTGACAGCAAGCTGGCTTGTGAATGAGCAACCTCAGCCAAGCCTCACTACAGCCCAAAACTGTGCTATGACTGAAAGAAGAAAACAAAACCTCTACTTAATTCCTGGTATCGTCAGTGGTTTCATACTCGTAGTGGGGCAGGTAAAATTTTCTTTTCTGAAAGACCAACCCTTTTTCTGGAGAGAGAATATTTTCAAATTCAGGACTTTCAAGAAATTCACCCCCTCATCTATTATCTATTTTTCTGAAAATGGCATCAGCGATGTGTAAATAGAAGTCCAATCTTACCTTTGCATTTGTGTTATGAAGATGTGCCATGATGTACTGTATCATGGCTTAAGTCAAAGCATCATTGAGACTGGTGAGTCTTTTCCCCACTCAATCCATGAAAGCTATCACAAAGCAAATCTGTTTTTTGGATTTTAAGAAGTATTCAGAGGCTGTAAGCATACCTCAAGATTACATTTAATACCTTGAGAGCTTCATGTCACCCACCTTAGAAACAAGACGGTGAGGAAAGATGCACTTTTAGAAATGAAAATAGATGGCGGTGGCATTTAGTCTCAATGCTAACACTGAACTTAATTTGTGCTCTATTGTTTAGGAGGAAGCGACCTGATGATTTTTTTTGTTGTTGCTGACAAGGGATGGGTGGGGGTGTACTAGGAAGCACAAGTTAAATATTGCACAAGTCACTTGTAAGCCAAGGTATCATAGATTGTATTTTAATTTAAATCTCATTTTTCAAGTGAGATTCATTGTTCTTTTTCAAATGAAGGTGTCGGATTCTACAAAATTGCCATACAGATGCTAGAAATTATGTTATATCACAGTAGTAATTCGATTGCCATACAGATGCTAGAAATTATGTTACTGTATATCACAGTAGTAATTCAAACTTGGGCAATTCATTTTGTCAGAGAGAGGAGCCATGTGCTTTGCCTGATGTCTCAGGTTCAGTTTGTGGCATATTTAATTACCAGGTCAGTTACCAGAATTGAGCTGGCACACCAGGAATTGCCACCCCCAAATTTCAGTGCAGGCTATGAGGTTAGGAAGAGCATCTCTATCCCTCTGACTTTGGTGCTCATCAGGGTCCATAAGACTGGGTCAGATAGTCTGACTCACAATAAGGCAGCTTCATCTGTTTTGATGAGTTTGTTAGGGCGTTTCGTAATATAGATACAGATTTCTTCATACAGATTTCTCTTTAAGGTGGTTGTTTAGAAGAGTCTGGAGCTATTATAAGATGTAATTACCAAATTTATCTCGCTGTTTCAGTTCTGTATTCATGTCAACGTCCAGTGACTGAGATGGGGCTAATTTCCCCCCAAGATATATTGATGGCTACATGCAGAGGAAACTTGTATAAGATAATCCAAATTGATTTCAATGTGATAAGTATATCCTGTGATAATAATGTCAGAATACAGCCTCTTACTTATCTGACTTCCTTGTTTTTTTCAACTTAAAGTACTGGAGATATTGAGTCACAGTTCTATGCTGAAAGCAGATTGGGCATGTTAACCAGGAAGGCATTATGTGCAGCTGGTAATACAAGGGAGAAAATAAGGCACAGAGGTCCCAGATGTTTCATGCAGATGGATATCAGGCTGGGAATGAACACTTGTGTACTGATTATAGGGACTACTTTGGGTGTCTGGCATGCATGTGGCTGTGTAGTGGGCAAAATGCATACATGCATGGAGTCCTGCTGATGTTCACCCAGTTCCATGCATGTAACTCAGCTTATGCTCATGTACTTATGCCAACTTTGGAATGCCGACCTTTCAACTACCCTTTTATATGCTCAAGTTGACATTTCTGTTGTGCTATAAATGCTCCACTAAGTAGGCAAAATATAATGTATTTCTTAACTTTGAAATGGCCATCCCCGGCTAAGTCAGAAGACGTTTGCTGATCTAGTATCACATGATGGAGGAACAGTGATCCCGCCACTACTGTGGAGAGAACTAAAATAAGGAGAGTTCACCTAGCCACAAGTGCATTGACTTCTTTTATCTGTTCAGTGACACATTGCTTCCTGTGGGCAGGTAAAGGAGACGTGTCAAGATGTGGGATCCCCAAAGTGTAGATTGACTGAGAGCCAGAGCCCAAATTTTGCAGGTGTTCTCTTGCTTAGGAATGTGCATAAAACCTGATGGAGGAGGTTAACATTGCAGGCTTAAACAGAGTTACTTGCAGCCAGACTTACTTATAATTTATTTGAAATTCTGCATACCTTTGAGACATAGTTTCATGGACCTCCACTGATGTACTGCTAATTAGAATAATTTCAGCAGACATTATATTCTTGTAAGGTTGCAGCCTCAAAACATTGAGTACAAGTCAGAGAGGCTATTAATCACTATAGGAATCTCCCATTGGCCTTTAAATCTTAACCATTCATCTGAATTATGAAATTTAGTAGAGCCATTAGGCTAAATCAGTCAACAGTTACATAAGTACCAGTGAGGTTAGTGGCTGTCCTGTAACTGGAAATGACAATTGGATTTAGCCCATTGAACTCAGTGTCTAGAATTTAATTGGTATTCCCTTTAAGGCCCTTTGAATCTTTGAATTCCCCATTCAGAAATTGATTCAGTGGCTCTCCTCTGACTAAGACTAGAAAATAGATGTTCACCAATGAGCTCTAATTTAGTCATGACAGATTCAAGCTCCATTGATTTCAATAGGTCTGCTGTTAGCATAGTTATATGTCTTTATCTAACCCGTTGTGTAATAAAAAAAATTACAATCCATTCTAGTTTATAGCTCTTCAGTGACTGGAAAGGGCTCATTATAAGGACAGTCATCTAGACTGTGTAATTTTGTTCATTCAGCTGAATCTGTGCTGTACATAGAACAGAATTAGCTGAATGGACAAAAATTATTCCTTAATAAAATGGAGATAAGGAGAATTCAGTGGACAAGTCAGTGCATGGACTAATACTTTTTTTCTTCTTTTAAAAATTTGTTTCATTGCTTCATTTTGAAAGTGAAGGGGGGTTTATTGGAACTATCAGGAACAATGCTTTCTTCATCCTTTGGATCATTCCATTAAAGGATTCTCAAGGCTTGCAGTTCTTTCTGTAAAATGAGGGCATTTCCAGTCCAGTTGCCCCACCTTGTACCACCCTATTTGTCCTACAGAGCATAGATATATTGGAACCAGCATCTAGAAGCCAATCCTCTTCCCCTTCCAGAACTTTTTGAAGCAAAAGATAAATGTGGCACTGCATCTACAAGCTTATCCCACTCACTCACCAATGGTGTGCTCTTTCTAAAGCCCCATACTTCAGCTTTCTTTTCTTTCTTCTGCCCATTTCTCATCCTTCTTCATAGTGAGGAGAGGAGGATGAAATACAGGCAGACAAGGTACCATTTTAGCTCTTCCCCTCCACTGATCCTAGTTCTGCCTACTCTCTTCTGCTTCTATTCTTTCCTCCAGTCTCTCCTTCTGCCTTATGTGTGTGTGGTTTATGGAAGCACCGTGGAGTTAATCCCACCTCCCTTTTGAACAGGTAGCACTACGATCCTTATAATAAAAACAAAGGAGTGGGGGATTCTTACAAGCTCCGGCCAGTTTTAGACTGTGAATGGAATGAAACTCCTCTGGCATAAAAGAGAAAAGAGCATCAATCAAGCAGCAGGACGCCTTGTGTCACCACGGACAAAGGTCCACATTTTAGCACCAAAGAACTCGAAGTTTTAGTTTAGAGTTTGGTTTGGGGGGATATGGTGTCAGATTTTGAGGTGGAAAGGTGCAGCATAACTTTACTTTTGTTACTGCTCTGGTTGAAAACAAAAATAACTGCCAAAAGCAAGCTGAGGTACCTTGTTAACCCCCCCCCACACACACTTTAAGCCTGAAAATACATTCAGTAAATTCTCTCAGCCTCAAGCTCAACAGCTAAGAGTCTTAAGGAAGTCAAACTTTGTAAATACATCCATCTTGTGAAGAAATGTGGAATGGAATTAAGTTTTCTCCTTTGTAATACTAACTTGGATTTGTGTTGTTTTTTTAAAAGGAAAAGGGCATGCAGAGAGCTTGGAAATTTTGCTTTTTAAAACTATGTCTCATGCCACCTATGCTGGCTGAGGAATTTTGCAAAGTGTAGCACTCCCAAGGTAACTTTTACCATAATGCTGACATTCAAGGAGGATAAGAATATCAACAACTCTTAGTTATGCTCTAAACCAGTGGTTCTTAACCTTGGGTTACTGAGGAGTTTTGGACTCCAACTCCCAGAAGCCTTCACCACCAGCTGTACTGACTGGGGTTTCTGGGAGTTGCAGTTCAAAAGCATCTGAGTAACAAAGGTTAAGAACCACTGCTCTAAAACAACACCTGGGGGCAGATGCAGTATGTCACTGGACATCTGCTTGCTTGGATGGAAGGACAGTGAATTCAGAAAGTCTGAGACGCCAATCTCTCCTAAGAGCTCTACAGACTTTTATAGACCTCTAGGAAAAAAAATCTGTAAACCTTTATCTATAGATCCCTAAAGCACAAGAGCCATGGGAGAGGGATTTCATGCCCAAAGGAATTTGGCTGACCATTGTGATGGAGGAGATGCTGGACCAGATAAGTCTTTAACCTAAGCCAGCAAGAGTATTTTATTTTCATGAATATTATTTCTTGACTCTGTTCAGTAAAGTTTATTGTTTGGATGAAGTACTACTGTATGTGTATAATTAGTAAGCTGTTCTGTCGATAAAACAATTGCAGTGAAAGTTGAAGATCAGGTGACAGAAGATATACAGTGGATCCTCGACCTACGGAATTAATCCGTATCGGAATGGTGGCCGCAGGTCGAAAAGTCTGTAGGTCGAATATGCATTTCCCATAGGAATGCATTGAAAACCATTTAATCCATAACTGGCCCAAGAATCCCATGCATTGAAAACCATTTAATCCATAGCTGGCCCAAGAATCCCCCCCACAAAAATGAAAATAAAGACCTTACATTTCTGAAGCCTTCCAGGAGTCCTCCGCCGCCACCATCGCCACTGCCCGAGGCCTCTCGGACGTCCCCTGCCCCCGCCGACGCAGGCTTTCCCAGGGTGGACCGGGCCTACCAGGGGAGGGCTTCCCCCGGTAGGCCAGGTCTACTGACTGGGAAAGTCTGGTAGACCATGCCTACCAAGGGAGGGCTTCCCCTGGTAAGCCCGGTCTACTCCCCAGGCTTTCCTGGGGAGTAGACTGGGCCTACCTGGGGAAGCCCCCCCCGGTAGGCCCGGTTCACCCTGGGAAAGCCTGCATCAGTGGGGGACCTCTGAGAGGCCTCCCATGGCAGCAGAGAAGCCCTGGAAGGCCTCCGGAGGTCCCCCTCACCGCCAATCATGCCTCCGGGGCCGATCGGTGGCGAGGGGGACCTCCAGATGCCTTCCAGGGCTTCTCTGCTGCCATGGGAGGCTTCTCGGAAGTTCCCCTCACCGCCAGTTGTGCCTTCGGGGCTTCTCCAGAGGCACAATTGGCGGCAAGGGGGACCTCCTGAGGCCTTCCAGGGATTCTCTGCCGCCATGGGAGGCCTCTCGGAGGTCCCCCTCCGAAGCACGAACGGTGGTGGTGGAGACCTCTGGAGGCCTTCCCCGCTGCCATGGGAGGCCTCACGGAGCTCCCACTCACTGCCGATTGTTCCTCCGAAGCACGCTTGGCAGTGGGGGGACCTCCAAGATGCCTCCCATTGTGGCGGAGAAGCCCTGGAAGGCATCCGGAGGCATGATCAACGGCCTATGGACTGGAAGAGGGAGGCGGGGAAAACACCAAATTTGAATTTGGCACTTCCCCCACCTCCCCCTTCCGGTCCATAGGTCGATTTTCCGGCTGCAAGT